CTTGGTAGCCCAGGCTGGCCTCGAACTCACAGAGATCCGCCTGGCTCTGCCTCCCGAGTGCTGGGATTAAAGGCGTGCGCCACCACCGCCCGGCTTTATCTAAGTCCCTTTTATTGCTTGCCTAAAAAGGACACTTCCTAAGGACACAGCACCAAACTGAGTAACTGTAACACACCAGCACCGCCAATATTGCATGCTTTCGTGTTATATCTCCTCTCCCCCTTCTTCCTTCTTTTCTTCCTCCCTCCCTCTCTCCTCTTCCCTTTACCCTTCCCTTCCCTCTCTCTCCCTTCCTTCCCCTCTCTTATTCCTTAAGCCCCCCTCACTCAGTCTGGAAGGATGTTCGAAAGTTTTGGTGAAGAGGAGAACAGGACGCCGTGTGTTTGGAATAGACATTAACCTCCATTCTCCCCTCTTACCTTTCCTATACTGATCTCATTATATACCGCTTTCAGGGTCAGGAATCCAATTCCAGTCTTTCAGTACATGTCAATTAGCATTAACTGAGTGTCCAAAGGGTGTGTGATTCTTTTCTAGGTGCTATAAGGGAAATTGTCAATTGATTTTTCTCCTAATGGGAGTTAAATCAAATATTTCCTGCTGGGCACTGCAGAAAGTCGAGTATTTACCAGAAGTCAGTTGTATGGCAACTCCCAGCCAGCGTGGCTTATGATATTTGGGTATGGAAAGTAAACACTGTCTATGAAAAAAGCAGGTGATAGTGGTGGAATTAGATACTGTGAAGGGATTTGATTTACTAATAACTGTGGAACAGACTCACTAGCACCCTTGCCTAGAGCACAGGTTTCTAGTCTCAAAGATTTAAACAAAAACAAAACGTATCTCCCATAAACATTTGCAAAAAATGATGATTGGCTCTGAGGGAACCATTAACAAACAAATCAGCAATCAAGTAGACCCACCCCAATCTACTTGCTTTATCCTAGCCTGTATGGAACTGAATATAAATGTCTCATTCAGCCCTTGTAAATATCTGCATTTCTAAAGCTCAGGCGTTACCTGCTCAGCTCGTCAGCTTCCTGTTGAAGGTTGGCTGCATGGTCCATAGCTTCTTGGACTAAATCATGACTCAGGTTACTTAGGTTGGAGAGCTTTCCTTGCAGCTCATTTTTGCCTCCATCTATTTCTGCATAAATTCCAGATGCATTCTAAAGAAAAACAAAAAGTAACTGGATCTTAGAGAAACATAGAACAGTTTCTCCAGATAACAACAAAATTGATCATCTTCCTGCTTGTCCATTTCAGGCCTAAATTACCGTAAGGAGGATTTGTGTACCCCTGCATCTTCACCCCCTTCTCGATGGATTGCTTCCTCATCGTTCGGACATGCTCTATTTCCTCTAAAACGAAAACTAAACACACAGCTTCTGGTAGCCATACATCCCGTTGGCGTTCCACCTTTCAGAGTAAATCTCTCTAGGGGAAATCTACCAGTAGGAAGCCTTGCTTTCCAGCATCCAATTTCTAAACAGGCTGGAAAATAAATAAATACAGAGACCAAGCATGTTGCCTTATTTTTGTGCAGCTGAGGTAAAAGCATGCCTTCAGATCTCAGCCACCTGTAAACTGGTACTCAGTCCGAGAAGTACAGTTAGTCTACTGTACTTCCTCACCGGCTACTTAACAGGTCAGCAAACTCTCACTTTCAAAAGCACCATGCGTAGTGTAGTCCTCCCTAAAGACCTTTGCACCCACTGTCCCTAGATCTTTTAAAAAAAATGACTCATATCTTTGTGACAGTTTAATCCAAGAGGTCTGTACCTCTCAGTCAGGCAGTGTGACCGTCAGGGGCCCGTATGCCCAAAGAGCTTCCTTACAGAAGAACACAAGGAAATAGTCCTTCTGCCCAAGGCTTCCATCCAAGAAGAGGATGGAGTTGAGCAGGGCCTGTACAGTTCTTCCTAAATTTATCAATAAAGCAAATCTTCCCTTCTCACAGGGCGCAGTGAGGAGAGGCACTGGCAAGGTTTGCCCGAGTAGCCAGTATTTCCCTTTGAGCTGAGTCTTTCTGGCTTTTTATTGGTCTCCACCATGATGCAGGAATGGTGACAATGATATCATTCCCCTTCCCAGAATCAACCCATTGCCTTTCCCCTTGTAGCTTCGTTCTTGCCTGGTTCGTCTTTCTCTGCTGATTTAGTCATTTTTTTCTCCACTGTATCTTATAGACCAACCTTGTCTAACCAGTTGCCTTAATGCTGTATATATATATACACCGTATACACTATCTCCCCAGTCTGGAATAGTTTTCCTCTCGGGACCTACTTGGAGTTCTACTCATCCTGAATTCAACTCAAACATTACTCCCACTCGGCAGCAATTCCTGGCTTCCTGGGTGAGCTCGTGTTCCCACAGGCCTGTTATTCACACTCCCATCACTGTAATCGTTGTACACGATCATTCACTCATGATATTACAGACTCTTACATGATAGCACCAACTCTTAGGAATCGGGAACTGAGTTGAATTGGGTTTTATTCCTCTAGACTGGAGCACAGTTTCTAACACACAGGATTTATTTCTTAGAGGTTATATTAAGCCTTTAGCCATTTGGCTGGTCACTTTGTTTTGAATTATGTAAACAGAAAAATGTCACAGGCATTCATCTTTAAGCATTATCTCATTATTCCTTTAACTAATGTCCACTGTGTGCCTAGTCCACGCCTAACACTCTTGGAGAGAAGACAACAAAGTCGCTGCCTTCAAGGGCTGCCGCTGGGGAGGGGGTGGGGGCCCAGACAGATAGCCATGACCACAGAAGTGGGCAAGCTAATTTTAGAAAGCAAAAGCTATTTTGAACAAAATGCAACATGGAGGATGGAGTGGATAGTGGTTAGGGGTACGGGGACCTCTTGGATTAAACTGTCCCAAAGATAATGCGCCATTTTTTAAAGATCTAGGGACAGTGGGTGCAAAGGCCTTGAGGGAGGACTACGTATGGTGCTTTTGAAAGTGGGAGTTTGCTGAACTGCTAAGTAGCTGGTGAGGAAGACAGGAAGTTAATGCCAGGCCGGACAGGTGGGTGAGCCACGTCACGGGGTGCTTCCTGGGTCACGGTGGAAAGTGGTTCTGATTTTAAGTGTTACTAGAAGTTCAGCAGGAGAAACGGCAGAGTTTGATCATGTTTTAAAATGATTTTTCTGCTAACGGGTTGGGAATGGGTCTAGAAGCGCCACGGCGGCGGCAAACTCATCTGTCAGCCGCGCTCCTTGCCACTTCACACGGGGCACCAGGTGGTTTAGCAGCAGAGATGAGGAAGTGGCCAGAAGCTAGGGTTCATTTCGGACAGAGGGCCGGCACATCCTGGTAAAAAGTCATGCGAAGAAAGGAGCACTCGGGAGTGATCTGGGATATGGGACCTGAGCAGTGGGAGGGGCCGCTTACTGAGATGGGGGTGGGGGGCAGCTCTTACTCAGAATCCGTGAGGTTTGATGTGCTTATTATATGGTAGATGGAATTCTGATTTTGTAACACGGAACCCTGCCTTCTGACTTGTAATGTCCAATAAGCATTTGCCTACAAAGGTTTGGGCAGGGGGTTCAGACACGGCGCTGTAAACTGTGGAATCATCTGCGTAACTATTCTTTAAGGCCCTCAGAGCCAATGACTAGGAGAGACCAGGATACAAAAGAAGGCTCCATACCGAACGCTAAGCCCCGCCTTCTCCAGAGCAGAGACCAGCACGGCTCAGATCCAGGTCCAGCTCCAAATCTTCCTTACACAGCCCTGAGCTAAGAATATATTTCTCGCTTTGGGAGGGTTGTTCAACAATCACAAAGAAAGGAATGGGCAGTAGCTGCATGTGGTCTGCACTAATGCATTTGCCACACAGAGGATGGGAGAGTCCTGGGATCCCATGCAGAGTGGGTGGAGCCAGTAGACAGTGCAGGTCTGGGAGGCAAAACAACACCTGTGACTAGAGACATTTTCTTCCATGATGCTGAACAGAGTGATAGGCCAAAGATCAGGAGGGGCTTCCAGCTTTTTAACAACAGCTTTTTCAAAGGGCCGTTTTCTTTCTTTGTATGTGTTTAAATGATAGGAGAGGGCTGGAGAGATGGCTCAGAAGTTAAGAGCACCGACTGTTCTTCCAGAGGTCCTGAGTTCAATTCCCAGCACCCACATGGTGGCTCACAACCATCTGTAATGAGATCTGGTGCCCTCTTCTGTATACATAGTAAATAGATAAATCTTTTTAAAAAATGATAGGAGATACTAGAGTAAGTAAGGATTCAACAAAGCTTAAGAACTGGGTGATAAGGAGACTGGAAAAAAACCCTTACAACCATATTTTCAGGGAGGACAGGATTGGGGAGCAGGAGGAGCAGCTCTCCACAGTGAGGGGGGAGTGTAGATCCAGAAGCAGGTGGGCTGGCGGACTGAAGGAGGAGAGGTGAGGAAGTTCTGGTTGTTTTCGGTTTTCCAGTGGTACAGGAAGCAAAGCCACCAGCCTGAGCTGAAGGCAGGGAGGCTGTGAAGGGCTCTCGCAGGCCCGAGCATGGCACACACGGAGCCAACAGGTTTTCCCTTTCTCTCCCTTGCCGAACACCGTACATTACATTCCTAAAGCTAACCCCCACGGTCCGTGCCACTGACTCATTCCTGAGACAAAACATCAAAGTCCAAGAGTCAAAATTCATTATTTGGCTAATAGTGTCCAATCAGGACTTACCAGCTTACCCTAGCACAGGCTCCCTGTTTTTCTCCTTAAAAACCCACTCCTGCAAAAAAATGCTTAGAGCATGGAGCTTGCTGCTGCTGCTGCTACCTGCTGTCTGCCCTTGCAGCCCGCCCTCCGTCCATCCGTCTGTCCGTCCGTCCGTCCGTCCATCCCTCCCTCCCTCCCTCTGTCCCTCCGTCCCTCTGTCCTTCCCTCCCAGGAGTAATAAATCTCCTTTGAGGCTGAGAATTTAGTGTCTGGGATTGTCCTGTACCGACTCCGAGGAGGGCAACTGTGGTGATGTATGGTTCACCCCAATAAAACTTATCTGGGGATCAGAGGACAGAGCCAGCCACTAGATTAGACATAGAGGTCAGGCAGTGATGGCGCACACACCCTTAATCCTATCACTCCATCTGGTTCTCTGTGAGTTCAAGGCCACACTGGGAACAGAGCCAGGCATGGTGGCACACATGTTTAATCCCAACACTTGAGACCTCATGCCTTTGCTTGGGAAGCACACATGCCTTTGATCCCAGGAAGTAAGATGGCAGAGCAGAAAAAGGTACATAAGGTGTGAGGAAACAGGAACTCACTGTCTGGAGACTGAGGATTTTGTAGAGGTAAGAATTTGTGGCTGGCTTGTTCTGTTTCTCTGGTCTTTCAGCTTTCACTCCAATATCTGGCTCCAGGTTTATTTATTTATTTATTTATTTATTTATTTATTTATTTATTTATTTATTTATTTTTATTAATAAGACCTTTTACTATTTGTGTTATATCTCGAACAACAGGCAACCTCCCTTTTATAGACAGGTTTCTTACAAGTCACATTCGGCTGCTTGAGTGCAGCTATGATACTGGGGACCCAGGGTTAGAATCTGTATGTGGATAAACAGGAACAGGTACACTTGGGAGTTCACGGTCTTTTCCAGGAATAATTAGACTGACAGTTTCAGCGGGTTAAGAAGAAAAGGCAGGAGGTAGAGGTTCAGGATCCCTGAGGGAGGAGGGGCTGATGTGGTTGGAGAATGGTTGGCCTGGCTGCTCTAAACGAAGAGACAGTACTTAACAAGGGAGGGTTCGAGATGGATTCAGAAGAAGGTAGGATCATGGATGGCAAGACATGGGTATGGCCCTAAAGGGACAATAGAGGTGGGCTGAGGAGAAGGCTGGAGAGATTTTTGGTGGGCTCATCCTCAAGGATTTTGACATCACTAGGAGTAGTGATAGGAGCTAGGCTGGAGAAGGCAGGGACTTAGGGACTTGAGTAGCTGAAGAAGAGTGATGTGGTAACCAGACTGCTTTAGTCCTTCAGAGGTAATAAAAAACAAATGCAGTCATTTATTTCAAGGTAGCTTCATTCACTGCATTTCACTTGAAATTTTCTATTTTAAAAAGCATGCCTTTTTAGAAGGTTTTCGAATGCTGGCTTTTACAAAATCAACCTTTACGTTGGCATACAAAGTAACTGGCTCGGCTATGGCATTTTCATGCACATTGCTGTTAGATCTGGTTCTTTTTCCATGCTCATCCCCACTGCTGGGCTTTGTGACCCTGCCTGTTCCTGGCTGGCTCCCCTCCTTCCCCCAGCCAGTCTTCCACTCTACTTTCTTATTGCATGTATCCCACCACAGCTTCCACTTCCACCTTCCCGTAAGAGCTCTTCCTCTCCTCTCTTAATGCCCTTTCTAGTTTCATGACCTATATATACACGGATATAATCACACACATACATACAATTTTAAATCTAGTTTCCGCAAATAAGAGAAAACACCTGGCATTTGTCTTTCTGAGCCATTCTCTTGAAAACATCATGATCTCATTTCCTTTATTTCTTTACCTAGTTATATATTGATGGACATCTAGGTTGGTTTCATTTTTTATCTATTATGAATAATTTGGGGTGTCCAAGGATCTCTATGCTACGTTGACTTAGTCTTTCATTTATATACCAAAGAGTGGTCCAGCTGGGTCATATGGTAATTTTACTCCACAGTGGCTGCACAAGGCTACATTCCCAGTTGTCAGTGAATACAGGTTCATGTCTCCTTACATCCGGCCACCATTTGTTTTCTTGATGATAGCCATTTTGATTGGCATGAGATGGATTCTCAAAGCGGCTTTAACTTGCATTCCCTGATAATTAAAAATGTTGAACATTCTTTTTCAAATATTTATTGGCTATGTGCATTTCCTCTTTTGAGGACTGTCTATTCAGTTCATTAATTTATTTACTGATTGGATGATTTGGCTTGTTAAATATCTCCCTAGGTAGAGTCAATGGGATGGAACTACATCAGTACTTTTAATAGATTTTACTGTGATCGTGTCTATGCCATCAAAGCTGCTAGCCACATGTTGCTCCTGAGGATGTAAAATGCAGCTGATTCAAATGGAGTTGAATTTCTAATTTTATGAAATTGAAATTTCAGTAGCTGTGTGTGTGTTAGTAGCTACCATGTAGTACAAGAAACTAGAGATTCCCATTACCTGATATTATTTTACAATCCTACTAACTTGAATTGAGTTGGATTACTCTGACACTGAGCTGCTGTTCAAAGGTGCTATAAAGGCAAGGCTGAGCAATCCAGGTATGTCCTTACCTTTATTATCTCATCAAGTTCCTCAAGAGTCAGCCGAGGTATCACCAGAGAGTCTGCAGATGTTCTCAGAGAGGTGCTCACGACTTCCATCTGCTCCTTCACTCTCTCATGTTGTTTCTGAGGGAAGGAAAAACAAAAGAGAGAAGATGTGATTGTACACCATATAAACCAACCCAAGGATATGGTCCTATCATTGGATGTAGAAAAGGCCTTTGACAAATCTAATACCCATTCATGATAAAAGTCCTGGGACAGATCAGGGATACAAGGGACATATCTCAACTTAATAAAGACAGTTTACAGCAAGCCAGTAGCCAATATCAGCTTAAATGGAAACTCAAAGTAATTCCATTGGGACCAGGAACAAGATAAGGTTGTCCAGTCTCTCCATCCATATTCAACCTGGTACTTGAAGTCTTAGCTAGAGCAGTAAGACAACTGAAGGAGATCAAGGGATATAAATTGGAAAGGAAGAAGTCTAAGTATCTTTATTTGCAGATGATCTGATAGTATACATAAGTGACCCTAAAAATTCCACTGGGAAATTCCTACAGCTGATAAGCACTTTAAGTGAAGCAGAGGGATAAAATATTTAACTCACACAAATCAGTAACCCTCCTATATACAAACGACAATTGGACTGAGAGTGAAATCAGGGAAACAACACCTTTCACAATAACCTCAAATAATACAAAATATCTTGGGGTAACGCCAACCAAAAGTGAAAGACTTGGATGACAAAAAAAAAAACTTTAAGAAATTGAAGAAGATATCAGAAGATGGAAGGATCTCCTATGCTCACAGATCAGTAAGATTAATAACGCAAAAACAACCATCCTACCAAAAGCAACTTACAGATTTAATACAATTCCCATCAAATTCCAACACAATTCTTTGGAGAGTGACTGGAGTGGGGGGAGGATCAAGTGGGGCAGGGAGGGATGAGGGGGATGAGGGAGGGGATGTGGGAAGAGCTGAAAGTAAGAGCAATAGGAGGGGGTAGCATGGAACCCTAATATAGCAGAAGATTACACACACACACACACACACACACACACACACACACACACACACACGCGCGTGATCTAAATGAAATTTCCAAATAATAGGGAAGCTAGAGCCACACTGGACACCTCTTGTCACAAAAACGAAGCTTCTAGTATTAGGAATTTGTTACATTTAATTGAATTGTAGGCCAAAGGGGCCCCATGAGAACCCCCAAAACAACCGACATTGTTCCCAAGACTATGGGTGTGGCTTCCACAAACTGATTGGAAGGTCCTATTACTGAACACAACACCCATATGACTCATCAAACATGGAGAAATTGAGCTGGTGCATACATAGAGCCTTCACCCCTACAGGCTAGGTACATGTACTTTGGTACATGTATAGGGAAGTACTCTGCACATTACCAAAAGAGAAACACAAACACCAACGTAGCCATAAAACCTGTGATATATAATGGTATCCTGCCTTCAAGATTTGCTAGTACAGTACAACAGTGGTACAAAGCTTGTGGGAGTAATCAAGTAATATGACTTAAGGTCTGCTCTATGAGATGGAACCCATATTTACACTGCTTAAAGTTGGACAGCCCAGGGACCCAGGGTAAGTCAACTATTACTGTTCTACTAAAAGAACATAGCAATAAAGTGACTCCCTGTGACATTCTGCTATATTCACATCTCAGTGCCTTCCTTGCTCAGCCATCATCAGAGAAGCTTCCTCCTGCAGCAGATGGTACAGACACACATAGCCAGACATGATGCAAAGTGTGAGAGACCTTGGAATACTGAGTCCTATTTGTTTCTGTTAAATCCTCCCTGTCCCCTGCCCAGGGCTCAGGGAATCTCATGGAAGAGGAGGCAGGAAGAGTATAAGAGTGAGGAGGGATGAGGACACTAAATGAACAATATCCTCTAAATCAACACGATCTACCCACACATGAATTCACAGAGACATAGGTAGCATGCATAGGGCCTGTAATGTTTTGTACCAGCTGGGCTCCTAGAGCTGGAAGGAGAAATGGACACATGCCCCAACCCAACTCAGAAGCCACCTCAAATTGATAACTACTTGCAAATGAAAATTTCATTTTCTCCGGGCGGGGGGGGGGGGGAGCGGGATTTGATGGGGAACAAACTACTCTTAAGGGTATGTGGCATGCCCAGCAGTAAGTAGATGGGCAACAGAAAACAAACTCCATGGTATCTTTGGAGCTCCTTGTCTTATAATGTTGTGTCAGGGTATTTCCTTTTTAAAATATTTTAAGCTTACTTTTTATTTTCATATATATATATGTACATATATACATATACATCTATATATAATTTACCCTACAGGTTCTGTATGTGTGTGTATTATATATTATAGTTTCTAGTTTAGTGGGTTTTTTTTTTGTTTGTTTGTTTTTTGAGACAGGGTTTCTCTTGTGTAGCTTTGCGCCTTTCCTGGAACTCACTTGGTAGCCCAGGCTGGCCTCGAACTCACAGATATCCTCCTGCCTCTGCCTCCCGAGTGCTGGGATTAAAGGCGTGCGCCACCACCACCCGGCTCTAGTTTAGTGGTTTTATGAGATTCCTGAGTGTGTGGATGAGTGGGTCTCTGTGTCTATACCTGTTTATTGGGCTCTTTTCCTTCTGTTTGTTTTGTTTTATTCCAGTGTGTTAGTTTTTGTTTTATCTTATTATATTTTATTTTCCCTTAGAAGCTTGTTGTTTTCTAATGAGAGACAGAAATGGGGGATGCAGTGGAATAATCCTTTTGTACACTGTGAAAATGTGTTGCTCTCATTGTTAATAAAAAACTGATTGGACTATAGCTAGGCAGGAAGAGATTGGACAGAAAAGCCAGACTAAGAGGACACTAGGAAGAAGAAGAACAGAGTCAGAGGAGATGCCATGAGATGCAGAGAGAGCAGTATGTAAAGTACATACATGAGGTAAACGAGCCTTGGTGATACACATAGATTAATAGAAATGGGTTAATTTAAGTTACAAGAGCTAGCTAAAACCAAGCTTAAGCTATAGGCCAAGCATTTATAATTTATTAATAAGTCTATGTGTGATTATTTGGGAACTGGTTGGTAGGACAGAAAGTCTGACAACAAATGGCATTTCCAATGTGGGACCAGAATTTCCACATAGGGCTTGAGAAAACTAAAGCAACAATAATAATAACAAAACAAAACAAGACCCAGCAAACTAAATAAGAATGCCTGCCTCAGTCTGGCCACTGGTATCCCAGAGCTGGGGTATTGAATGCAGTTCCTGGTTAATAAACACGATTCTTGGCCAGGCCCATAAGGCATAGAGCTCATCTTTCACAGGCCAAGGAGTGGGCCAGAGCCAGCTGCCAAAGCTGAGGTGGTCCTAGCCACACTACTCAGCAGTTTAAAGGCCCATACAGTCAGAAAAGGATAGAGATATACAGTAAAGACAGATTTAGATGGGAAAAAAACCCTTCTAAACAGGTTACAGTGTGTTTAAAACATATATAAGCTTGGGAGAGAAAAGAGAAAAGGTATATATAGTCATATATTAAAAAATAGTTTTAAAAATAAGAAAGTCCTTAAAAAAGGAATAAAATAAAATAAAAAAAGCCACGTAAAGATAGGAAATATACAGAGAGTCTGGATCCTATATGTTACTGTGTTGTCTTTAGATTTTTCTGATTGCTAATGAAGGAAAGACAGCTGCTGAAACACATTGGGTTATGGAAACTGCTAGATTAAACCAACTCATATATTTTAAAAATGTCTTGACTTCAAAATGAAAGTCAAAAGATATGCTACTTTGGGGAAGAGGTTATGCTTTTATTTCCACATGAGATGAGAGGCTGTGGATTCATTCCAGGTTGATATGGATCAGGTTTGATCAGGGAAGACCCCTTGAAAATCCTGACTACAAATGTAAAGAAATAAACCTAGAAGAACTACAAGACACATGATGTATATTTTACCTGCACAAACATAACAAAAAAAATTATCTGTAACTGACTTGTACACACCACATATTCTATACTTGTAAAGTATGTTACCTTTAAAAGTTTATGTATTTTCAGAACAAGGGAACCAAACTTAAAATGGATGGCCCAGGTGATCCAATATCTCAGAATGCCTCTGTTGCAGTTTCCTCAAAATTCTGCATCCAGAACAACTTCAAAGCTGCTAGCTGAGACGGTCCAGACTCACAGACTACTCCAGTCAGATTTCAGATAATCTCTACGCTTTCCCATTACACTGAGATTGGACAACAATTGACTCTCCCAGAACTTTACCATTATCCCAATTTTCTCAGGGTCCCCTAAAGTGCCATTGCCCCCAGACAACAGGAAGCAATCTAGAAAACACAACACCCACATTCCCAAGAGGTAGGGTGGGTAGTTTTTGGTCATTCAGTGGGTTATGGATGTTTATTATCATTTAGGGGGGTTCGTTACAAGTTGTTATTGGTCATTGTCAGGAAAAAAGCTGGACAAAGGAGATTAGATTCAGGGATCTCATTCTGAAAAGAAAATGGGAGAATATAGAAATGATAGGATAAAAGAATAGATTATTGAATCTACTCTTAAACTAAAAAAGCAACTACTAGTCTTAAAATATTTTGCATTGGTATAGATTTTTGTATATTGATACAAATTTAATGGTTTTTTTTGGTATAAAACTTTGGACTAATGAAGATAAGATAGATAATAGAATATTTTCTCTAAATTTGCCAAATACAAAGGTACTGGATAGTGTAACTGTAATTCTTACTTGATAACTGTTTTGTTGTATATAATTTTGCTATGTTAAAGTTAAAAACCCTCCTTTTTTGTTTACACAAAAAGGGGGAAATGCTGTAAAATAATCCTTTGGTACACTGTGAAAATGTGTTGCTCTTCATAATAAAAAGCTGATTAGCTGATAGCTAGGCAGGATTTTCAGGGCAGAGAGAATGCTGGGAAAAAGAAGGGCAAAGTCTGAGGAATCTTAAGAGATGGAGAGAAAAGAAAGATGAACGTGCCATGTTGAAAGAAGGTACATCCACATAGCAGAGAGTAGGTAAGAAATATTGGTTAATTTAAAATTAAGAGTTAGCTAGTAACCAGCCTGAGCTATTGGCCAAGTATTTGTAATTAATAAGAAGTTCCATGTGGTTATTTGGGAACTTGCTGGTGGGAAAAGCGTCTGCCTACAGGAGGAAGTATGAAGGGTAGAGAGAGGGGAAACTGTAATCAAAATATGTGAGAAAAAAATCCATTTTCAATAAAAGGGAAAAAGAAAAATAAAAAATACTTTCGCAGGGCAGTAGTGGCACACGCCTTTAATCCCTGCACTTGGGAGGCAGAGGCAGGTGGATCTCTGTGAGTTCGAAGCCAGCCTGGGCTACAGAGTGAGTTCCAGGAAAGGTAAAAAGCTACACAGAGAAACCCTGCCTTGAAAAACAAAAACAAAACAAAACAAAACAACAACAACAAAAAACTCTTGCAAAAAAAATATATCCTTAAGTTTGGGGCTGAGGATATTGTTTAGTACTAGAGCATGTACCTACCAGGCACAAGGCCCTGGGTTTTATCCCAGCATTACAATTAATTAGTCAACTGAATAAAATTGGACAGTATAATTTACTTTTGTTCATGAAATTTTTAAAAATCGTGCCCTAAAGTACAGAATCAAATATTCCAATAAGGTTACATCCTTTCAAACCAATTTGTTATAGGAAAGACTACGACTACTATGTAACTGAAACACTAGGTTTTAAATTATGTGGGAAGAAATTAAAATTTTCATAACATTGAAGCATACAAAAGTAGGAAAAAGAATGTCAACAGTGGTGTCTAGTAATTTGAGGGTCTGTTTTATATTGGAAGCAGTATTTATAATCAAGAGAAATTGGTATACACAAATGGTATCTGAATTGCATGGTAAGTGGGGATGGTTTATGTCCTTAGTTGTTGTTTTTGTTTTTTTCAAGACAGGGTTTTTCTGTGTAGCCCTGGCTGTCCTAACTCTCTCTGTTGACCAGGCTGGCTTTGAACTTGGAGATCTGCCTGCCTCTACCTCCTGAGCACTGGGATTACAGGGGTGCTTTACTGCCTGCCCCATGTCCTTGTTTATCCATTTGTTGACAAATAAAGCAGATGCATGCAAGGCATGTGTTAGGTTCTGGGAAGATACAGTTCCTGCAAAGCAAGAGCACTGCCCTTTGGATGCTTATGGGGGGATAGACAAAGGTACACACACACACACACACACACACACACACACACACACACACACACACACAGAGGACTCACAGCTACACAATCAGTAATTAATGATGCCTTTGAAACTGGAACACAGAATATATGCTAAAAGTATTAAAGATGATTCCATAGTTACAACTTAGGGATCTGTCAGAGCAGAAGAGGGAGGGACTCCTCCTGATGATCACTTTATTTTTTTAACTTTAGATGGATTTTCTTGACTTTTAGGAGGCTTTAGAAGGAGTGCCTGAATTTGTTTGCCAACCCGATATGTATAAATAACTGAACATGTTTTTCACGGCGGGACTGCATCTGTGTGTGCATGCACGTGTGTCTGTACATGGGGGCAGGGTGAGGGTGTGGGTGTTTTCCCTAGTTTTCACAGAATTCTTGGTAGATGGAAGACAGAAAGGATGTAAGGACTTTAGTAAGTGGAGGAGACATGCTACATACGTACGAAGTGAGTCACTTTGCCCAGATTAAAGACGAGACAGAAATAGACAAGGGAGATGGGCAAAACCACAGAGCACAGGAAACAGGAGGAAAACTACATGGTCTCCACATCTGAGAGACAGCTTTTGTATGGGCGTCGAGAAATACCATCGGAACTGTACAGCTGGACAATTTGCCTTTCTTTACTAGGACACCATTGAACGTTCTTAAAATGTTTTTTTTTGTTAAAATTGTGTTATTACATTTATTTATTTCTTTTTCCCTCCTTTCTTCCCTCCCTCCCTCCCTCCCTCCCCCCTCTCTATCTCTCCATCTCTCTCTTGTAGGTCAGAGGTTAGAGAACACCTTACAGTAATTGGATCTCTTCTTCTACCATGTGGATCCCAGTAGCTGATCCACCACCAGTAGTCAGGTTTGGTGGCAAGTACCCTACCCACTGAGCCACACCACCAGTCCTTCTCTTTGAGAGAAGGTCTCACTATGTAGTTCGGGTTGGTCTGGAACTTGCCTCGGCCTCTCCAGGTATGTATGGCCATACCTGACTTCACTGAAGCCTTTCCGAGAAGATTAATCAGCCACGTCTTGAAATGGATCTAGTTATAATCTGAGGGAGATAGAGGCCAGCAGCCTAGGTTGGTGGTAAATGAGCAGTGAACAACTGATATATAGGAGAAATGGGAGTGTTAGAGACTTGGGACTTAGAAGGGAAAACAGTTGCCTCAATGGTTAGGGAAAATTAGTGGGAAAGGGGTTATTTTTAGAAAGCAATAGCATGGCGTCTTCCCATGGCTATTCCCACCGACAGACACCCATGTGAAAGATGTTCTGTGGGCTCAGCTAAAGACAAGTATAGAGCCCCCACATGCGTTCCAGGGCAGAAGCAGTGAAACGTGGTGTAAATCACTGGAGAGGGGACCAGGGCAGCAGGGATGGAGGTTTGGCTAGTGCTAACTGCCTAATTAGAAAGAGGAGGAAGCAGGATGGGCAGAGGCTTGAAATGCTGTGTGCTATGCTGTTCTCTTTCTAAAATCTTACTCACGCTGTTCATTTGTACTTAGTAGAAGGATTTGTTTAACCAAGCTAAATGAAGCCCACCATCTGTCTGAAATCACCGAAATGCCAAATTCCTGGTATCCACATCCACGAGTTTAAAAAAAAAATGTGCATAAGAGTGTTTCATTAAGAGCTAGACTGGCATGTATTTACTTTTAGAACTGAAGTCACTTCACATAGGCGACACTGTTCATTTACCGCTTATGACAAAGTCCTGACGCACACATCGGCATTTACCAAATTCTAGCAAAGCAGCTGGTCCTGCCTGTGTGCAGACATTGATTTCCAGTCTGCTGTGCATTGCTCTTCTCGGCTATGGAGATTACAGAGCCCTAAAACTAAAGTCAGTGGAGGATGGAGCACGTTGGCTCACAATATACTTGAATGTGTTCTCTACTAAGGGTCTACGCAGAAGATGAAGCACCTGCTGGATCCACAGCTCACAGCTGGAAAAGAGAACTCAGTGTGTTTGCTAATCCAGTAATGTGGATCTAAGCCTTTTTCCCTCTGTGATGAAACCTTACTTCTGTGGCTACGTTTGGTTCTCCTAAGTGCTGTTACTTGTTCTCATCTGGCAGGGGGGTGGTCTAGGTTGATAACCTTTCCTTTTCAAGACTTTCTGTACCGAACATTCTGGGGGGGCTTCATTAATAAGCCCCTACAACCATTAGATGAGTCGCAGTGATATTCCCGTCTTGCATAAATTTCATCACATTTTTGCTTTATGTGTGCTAGCTTGCAACCTATTACACATTTGTTAGTGTGAGTCACGGTTAACATCATTTGAAAATCTCCATCCTGCAGGAGCCTATGCTCTTCACATGGCATACGGACCCTCTTTGATCTGCCCCAGCAGCTTCCTTAGCCTTGCCTGGTGGTGTTCCTTGGTGCAGGCATTCAGTTCAGGCAGTCCCTGTCTACCCAGAAGGCAGCCTCTGTGTTTTCTTTACCTGGCCACCTTAGTCATTCTTTACTTCTTCCTGCAGAGGCTGGCCAGCCAATCAGTTCAGAATGCCAGGCCCATAGCTGTGTTTCTCTATCATGGTCATCTGTGAATGGATCAACCTATTCTCTAAACTAGAAGCTTCATGCTGTCATGGAATCATGTGTTCTTCTTCATCTTTGAACCCTAAACCACCGGTCATAATTCCTGGAACAAATTAACACAACAGTAAAAATTTGTGGATTTGATGAAAGTATTTTAGGACTTTCCAATTATGTGCTGCTATGATTTTTTTTAAAATTATGCCCAAGTTTATGGAAGATGTATTGTAGATATATTATAAGTAGTAAGTGGTTCTTTTGTCTGTGGATTTAAGAGTATACCTATAACCTATGTGATAATACTGCTCTATATCCAAGAAAGGACAATTCCAAGCACTCACGTAAGACAAGAATCTAAATATCCTTTTATTCAGTTTTCTTTTGAAAATGATTGTCATAAACCTCCAGATATTTTATAACCCATTGAATGAGTTATAAAACCCATTGACTATCTTCACACAATGCTTGGTGCTATACTGACATGTTTATTGCACATCATAAGCATACATTCACTCAGCAAAGAGTGTCAACCTGACCATTATTATTCTAAAAAAAAAACAAAATAAAACAACCACAACAAAACTATTGAATAGAGTTTGCTCCTAAGAGAAAATAGGGGTGAGTGTGATTCATTTTTACTTAGGAATTTTTACAACAACCTACTGAGGGGAAATGACTGAAAATCAAGTTGCTTTTATTGATAATAAAATATGTTACTGAACTGACTGTGCCTGACACGCATTTACAGTTGCTGCCCACTGTACCTCGTGGTCCCGCTGCTTGGAGGCGATGACTCTGTTCATGTCTTCTGCATCCCTGACATGGTCGAGGGCCTGGGTGAGTGACTCCTGGATGTCTGAGAGCTTAGCATTGTAGTCGTCCAGCTGCTCCAGCACCACAGGGAACAGAGAGCGGGTGTCATTGTGTACCTGCTGCCACTTCTCAGCCTGGTCCAGCACTGAGGAGGAACGGAGACACAGTGAGACCGGGCTGCTTCTCCTGCACTTAGCAACTAGAACAAAATGCAGGCCTGCCTTCTTCAGTGATGGAGACTGGAGACGGGCTCACACAACTAGTCTCACTGTTTACGTTTGGCACGAGATGTTTTTCTGTTGGATTTAGGGGCTTCTGACATGTCCACTGAAGGAAGGGCTTGATTATTTTCCCAGGAGGATTATACTTTGTGCAGAAACTAGGCTGCTACACTTTTCTGCTTATTACCCAGATGATCCACAGTTTTACTTTATAAAGGGAAACTGGCTTTATGACGGAAAAATAACCGCCGTTTTCTAGTTCGTGGTAGAGCAAACAGCTATGTTGTTTATAACCACTCACTTTTACCACATTTTCCTGCAGCTTCCAGTTAGCTCCTTAGGTCAAACTCAGGTTGAGATTTTGACATGGTATCCTTAAAGTCTCCTCATATGCATGCTTTACTCTTGGCTCATAGGCACATTTGTTAATTAGATGCCATAATTCTTATGCGCCCCCTCCCGCCCCCGGGGAAGGCCAGTCTGTCATTTTGAGGCTTCTCTTTTCTTTCATCAGTATGAGGAGAAGATACAGTTCCTGGCTCAGTAAGAAAGTGCTTGAAATGCATTTATTATTAATTAATTAATTTCAAGAGACAAAGAGAGAGAAGTAGTTGGTCTCCTTTCCATGGGGCAGTCTGCTTAAATTTCAAAATCGTCAAGGAGCTTGGGGACAACTGGCTGCAATACTGGAGTTCCGGCCAGCCTGGGTGGCCTGGGATCCTCCTGTCAGTCTGCTGGATGCTGTTTCTTTGCCGCCATAAGAAACCTTTATGCCAGTGACCTTCTCCTCTGGTGTTCACAGTAACCGTCAGCAGAGGTTGTTAGACGGCACCTGTGACATGATGATTTGTGCCTTTTAGCCTTTGTGGTCTCACTGACTCCCCTGCAATCCAGTGAGACCCCTGGGCCCCTTCTTGAAATGGATTTTTTGGGTGTGTAAAATAAAACATATAAAATTTAAAAGTGACTATAATAAAAGTAAAAAAAAATAGCTACCATATAAAATCAAACTAATAACTTTGTAATCTATATTTTCATTAATTTCCTAATCAATCTTTATTAACGTATTAAGATAAGCTCTAGGGATGGGTGTATTAACTACAATTCTGAGGCACTGAGGAAAGTATTATGAAGTATCAGCAAAAGCTGAAATCAGATCTGAAAATCTATAATTTTCATTGTTGAATGTATAGATCCTTTGCAATCTTTCTCATCAAGAATGATGAGAAATAACTAATCCTCCCCTTTGAATCCAGGCTGGCCTTGCCCAGTTGAACAGATATGATATGACTGAGTTCCAAGCCTAGGCTTGACGAGTCCTTGAACTTTCTTTTCTTTCTCTCTCCCCTGCAATGGGAACAAGCTTGGGCTAGTCTCCATGAGACAAAGACTCTACATGGGCGGAGAGGTCTAACTTGCCTAGCTAGTCCTAGATATATGAGTGAATTTCACCTATGCCACATAGAACAGAGCTAAGCATGCAGGTTGAGTTTAGACTGCATAACCACCCTATGAAATTAGGATCAAAATAAATAGTTATGTTTTAGAATGAATACACTTGGGATATATTGGTAGACAATAACTGATGAACTATATAGTGACCAAGTCAGAGGTCCAGTAATACTACTTTGTGTGATTTAGTGTTTACACTTATTACTAAGGGTATGTCAAGTTTCTATTGGAGGTTAAAAGTGATTAAAAAAAGTCAGGGCTATCAGAGCTTCAACACTGTTGACATTTTCTATAATATTTCTCTCACTATAGACTTGGGAATTTAATCTTCTTTTTCTTCTTTTTATTTTTATTTTTCTCTACCAACTTTTAAGTCCCTATTCTTTCTCCGCAGTAGTAAAAGTTATGTAGATTCTGGGCAGGATCTCTGTAATTTCACAAATTCTTGAAGTTAGGCCTGGACCTAAAACTCTTGATCAAAAGGTCAACTTGATCAAAAGGTCAAGTTTCCCTGAATGAGTCCCTGAGTCTATGCATATAAATTCTACATAGCTCTGAATACTGAGAATTAGTTGTTGACCATATATTGCCCTGTCCTTTTTTCCTGGTCTCATAGAGAGAGAAGACATAGGCTGTGTTGGCCAGGAATGGAAGACACATACGTTCCTGGGCCTCATCCGCTTCCTCATCCACAAGCTCCCGCTGGGTGCGGAATGGTTGCCGGTTTCGGATCTCCTCCAGCATTTTCTGGGCCAACATCAGCTTCTCAGCAATTTCCTCTGGGCTAAGTTCCTGATTCTCTCCATAATGGAGCATCTTGCTGTTGATCTCTGAGAAGAAGAACATGGTGAGTTGGGGGCAGGGAAAGGACGGGCAGAGCTGTGGAGGTCTGGTGGCAAAGCTTAGGACTGACCTTACCGTGGAAAGAGAGCCTCATTCCCAGGCTGTGCTGTGAGTGTTGGTGTCAGCACAGAGGGGAGCGCATCGTGAGAGGAGAGAGGCACACCTGAGGAAACCATTCCGGTCCTATGAGGTGTGTTCGGAATGGGAATGGGCTGCTCCCGCGCCTGCCTGCCTTCTGTGCTCATCAGATATCCATGCTGATTTGAGAACACTAATATTTATGGCACAAAAAAATCTGAGGACCTTGTTCAATATTTTATGGAAATACTTGACTTGGAAGCAATGTTTGGCAGTGTCTCCTGTCACTTGGAGCACGCAATGTAGATATTAATTGCATTTTAGTCATCAACGATTTAACAAAACAAAGCTCTAAGCCAAAATGAGAGTATATTTGTAATTGTCCAAAAGAGCCTTTCAGATTGTTTATACATAGAGACAAACTAGCAAATAGATTTTTAAAAATCTTTTGCACACACACACACACACACACACACACACACATATATATGAATAATATATATGTTTATATATATTACGTGATTTCTCTATTTGCCTTCTGTGGTGTGTATTTTCAAGATTAGGCCATTTGACAATGAGTCTTTTTGCCCTACATCTGATATAGGCTGAAGGATTTAGAACCAAGGGACCATTGAAGCTCAGAGGGATGAGGTAACTTGCCTAAACCCTGGCATGTAACAGTTCTCTGACGCCCTCATTCCGATTCCATAGGATCAGAGGGGAGGTTGTGTGGCTCCCTTGTTCTCTGGCCGCTGCGGGAGGAAGTGCTTCATCTTCCTGGCATAATGAAATTGTGTGTCTGCGGTTCCCTATGATCTATGTGGTCGGCCAGATAAGACAAGTAAACAAACACTGGTGTCACATAAATCACGCCAGGATGAGGAGCTGTATTTTCTGGGGGTAATAGCTTGAAGGTCACCAGCAGCCATCGGAGAGATGGCTGGGAGTGAGAAATGGCCCACTAATGGTGCCGTGCAGCATCCCTGAATTCTGAAACAAGGGAGATAAATGGGAATAGGTGGTTTGGATGCTCCAAACGTTACTGCGAGCGTTATAGGGAGATCACTATATGCTAACTCCCTCCAAACTCCATGTATCAAAACATTCAACATTTACTTTTCAAACAAAGTGGAAAATACAAGTCCTTGAAATAAACGATATGTAAACATTAAATAAATCAAACACATCATTCTCCCTCAAGTTCTGGTAGTGGCAAAGCCGAATTATTGGGCATTTTGATGTAAATTCTGTTCAGTTTTGGGATGTTTTGTTTTGGCTATGTCTAGAGTAGATTAGCAAAAAGAAATGCACACAGTAACACTGGCGTCCCTGGAGACTGTTCATACATTATTTTAAAAAGAGGAAAAACTGATAAAAGTTACCGTTTCCCACTACCCATTCTTTTGTATTTTTCACATCCTTTCCCAGGACCAAAGGTCAAATAAGATGGTTCCGATTCCTTTCGAATGGAACACCTTAGGGCCAAAGTCTAGGTTACTAAATAGCAAAAGTGATTGACTTCCTCTGACAGGCTTAGAAGGGTCTTGACTATTTGCTGCCTAAGGGGGCATTTATTTCTTAATTGGATGAATATGAGGGTATTGGATTTCTAGGTTCATTCTCACTGTTGGAACAAATCAATAGAACAATGCTTTAGGAAAAGAATATTTTATCAGTAAGTGCTAGGGAGCCAGAGAGGTAAATGCGCATGGGCTAGAGAGGATGGCAGTGGGAAGTCTGAAGTGCATGCCACTTGTCTTTACTGTGCTTTATAGGCATCCGAGGAGACGCAGCAAAGGATTAATCTGGGCTTTACATGTCCCTTAGCCTGGACTGTGTTCCCACTACTTCAGTACAAAGATATGAATCTCTCACTGTGGGTCCCTTCACTGCTGTGCCCTGAGAGGCATTTGGTGTTGGCATCCAACTCTTGATGTATAGCATAATAAAAACCCATGGCAACAAACAGTAGATCTCAGCCGACTCTAACCCGAGGAGTGCCTCTTTACCCTAGAACAAATGCGGTCTCTCCCAGTTGGGCAATGGATGGCAGCTTTCACTGTGCTGTTAAGACAGTCTTCAAGATACAGCCTGCACTTAGAAATCAGCACAGATGAATGAGTCTCCAGCAGGTAGACTCTGTCACAGTACTTTAGGGCAAGGAATTACTCACAGTACCCCCCCCACCCCCACCCCACCTTCTTTTGGGTTACAAACCCAAGCAACTCATCTGCCTGGTCCTTGAGGAAGAGCACCACAGAAACAGCCAGTGACTATTTGGATTGGTTTCCCACCCCCACTTTTTTTTGTTTTTTGAGGCAGGGTTTCTTTGTGTGGCTCAGACTATCCTGGAACTCACTCCGTAGACCAGCACCTGCCTATGCCACCCAAGTCTTGGGAATAAAGGCATGTACCACCCTGCCTGACATGGTTTATTAATATTCTGAAGACATATTTGGGGGCTGCAAATAGTTGAAAAAAAAAAGTGTGTCTCCTACTACACTCTTTCATTTTAAAGACACCAGATTTACTTGATATAAACATAATGTGGCATTAAGCTTAAGTGATTTTATGTATTTATTCTTGAACATTAACAGATAATAAATAGGAATGGGTGTCCAGAAATCTCAATGAGCAGAACTGCCATGATGAGTGTACGTAAGTTAAAAGCTGTAACACTTGGAGCAATATGCTCCTGCACACAGCAATCACTGACAACAGCCATTCTCCCGTTGGCACTCATACAAGGATGGTTCCTTGGCATGAAGTTAAACTGAAGAGAAGACATTCACCTTGGATTTTGTCCCTCATGTTGTGGGCTTGCTCTACAAGTTGAGTTGCTTGGTCAATTGTATCCATGCTCTCCTTCTGAAGCAGCTTCCCCTTTCTCGAGGTGTGACTTCCCTACAAATCATATGAATGAACATTAGATTTAGGTTGTATATGCACACCCGAGGGTGGGCGGGCATCATGTATTCATTTGACAAACAAACATTCCTGGAGTGTGCAAGCTCTACAGCATACTGAACAGTCCTAGGAGTCACACATGAAGACATGAAGGTAATGACCGGTTTTAGGATCCTGTAATGCTATTAAAATCAGATACAATACCAAGGCCATCAGTCATGGTTCAGTCCAAACCAATCGCCTATCACATGTGTCTTATCCTTGCAATTGTTACTGTATCTCAAGATGCCAGACTTGGAAATGACCCATGTCTGTTGGATCACTTTGACATTGTTCTGGTTGAAGAGTTGAAACTTCAAAGAGGAAATCATCTAGAAAAAGGGCAGATCTTGAAATGCTCCCACTGGGTGGTCCAACCACTGATGAAACTGAATCACCATAGGGATTTACAGGATTACACTCACTGGGTTAGCTGCTGGGTTTAGAGCTCCATTCCAATTTCCCTGCAACATTGATGGCCCTTGTGTGCAAATAACTGCTTAGGCAGATTTGGCACAGAGTAAATGGAACTTTCTTTTTCCCCAGGGGCTGACTCCACTTCAGTGTGGTGCCTCTATCTCAGAACTCCCATAAAGTATCTGTCGCCATTAAATCCTGTCTGCTCTGTGGCTTTAGAAGAAAGTGTGTGTGTGTGTGTGTGTGGTGCATTTCTGTATGTAGCTAAAGACAGGAGATGATCTAAGGCATGGACACAGGTCAAGGTCAGGACATGACTCTCATTGCATGAAGGATGTGCCCTTCCTTTTGGCTTTAGACAGATAGATTGACAGTTATGGTAGCTAGGAGGAGGAGTTAGTTCTTTAGCCTGTATTTAAGAGATGTCTGATTGCCTTTTCTGGTGCTTTCTTGGTTCAGCTCTGTGCTAAAGGGCTATAATGATCCCATGAATGGCAGGCTTGCTGGGGGATATCTTTCTGTACACTGTGAATATATGTTGTCCCCATTGGTTAATAAATAAGCTGCTTTGGCCTATGGCAAGACAGCTTAGAGGTAGGCGGGAAATCCAAGGAAAGAGACAGGAAAGAGAACGGCAGAGTCTGGGCAGATGACAGCCTGCCGCCCAAGGAGCAACATGCCAGCAGACTGGTAAAGCCATGGAACACATGGCAAAACATAGATTAATAGAAATGGGTTAATTTAAGATATAAGAGCTAGCTAGCAAGAGATCTGTAATAGATCTTACAGTTTGTAAATAATATTAAGCCTCTGAATGATTATTTTATAAGTGGCTGTGGGACCGCGGGACCTGGCGGGAACCAGAGAGAACTTCAACTACACAGGCTGAAGCCTTATGAACGAGTGCTGAGAGACTACTAAGCAGGCTCTCCAGACTAGGGAAGGGTTGTCCCAAACCTCTCTTCTGTCATGCAGTTCTCCCCAGGGGACTGGGGCATGGTATCATCAGCAGTATTTTCACCCTTTCTAGGATAAACCAAGTAAGTGTCACTGTATGGTGGCTAAGAAAGAAGATGCAGAAATGGTATCAGTGTAGACACATTTAGAAGTTGTACTGGCTGGTTTTATGTCCACATGACACAGGCTAGAGTCATCGGAGAGGAGGGAGCCTCAACTGAGAAAATGCCTCCATAAGATCTGTCTGTAGGCAAGTCTGTAGGGCATTTTATTAATTAGTGATTGATGGGGGAAGACCTAGCCCACTGTGGGTGGGGCCATCCCTGGGTGGTTCTGGGTTCTATAAGGCTGAGCAAGCCACGAGGAACAAACTAGTAAGCAGCACCCCTCCATGGACTCTGTCTCAGCTCCTGCCTCCAGGTTCCTGCCCTGTGTGAGTTCCTGCCCTCATTCCTTTTGATAACGAACTGTTATATAGAACTGTGAATGAAATCAACCCTTTCCTCCCCCAGCTGCTTTGGTCATGCATGGTGTTTCATCACAGCAACAGTAACCCTAAGGAAGACAGAAGCCTTTTATCAGCCAAGTCAGTAATTCCTACGAAATGGGGCTGTGCAAGAGGCAACATTGGCCATCAGATTCTTTACACGCTGTACATTCCCGGTGCACATTGTCTTCTGAGTCGTCACATCCCTTCCCCCAAAGCCCACTCTCCTCCTGGGCTTATTCTAATGCTTTCCAAAGGAAAAAATAGTGTAACCATTTAAAAATTAGATAATAGAGAAAATAAAATGAATCTTAATTTGATGCCACCCATCACTGCTTTTAAAACATGCGAATATGTTTATGACACATTAAAAATTTATGGCTGATCCCATTTAAATATTATATTTAGAAAGAATGAGGCTCATTTTCTAAATTGAATAAACACACAAATATGCATACATACTCTGTTCTCACACTTCAAAGGAATGCTCTATTGCTATTTCTCTGCCTTTAAACTTTGAAGAGATGCCACATCTATAAGAAAACTTTTTTGTGTGTTGGTCAACTACTCCTGGGCCTGGGGCCTGCCCTGAAGTGTGGTTAATATACCCAGTGAGACTGCATTGGAGGAAACTGATTTTTCTTTTGCTAATAAGTATCAACTTCAGATAGAACACAGCAGGATTTTTAAGATCATTTTTGTTTCATTTTTCTGTGTTTGGTCAATTTTTTTGTCTTATTGGTCTTTGCTTATACATTCTTATTTGTTTTTGTGGGATATTTTTGTGTTTGTTTGTTGGGGCTTTTGTTTGTTTTTGTTTATTTGGTTGCTTGTTTTTAAAGGGAGAGAGGGAAAAAGAATGTATAGTCGGGTGGGTATGGAAATGGGGAGGATTTGGGAAGAATTGGGACAGGGGAAAAACATGACCAAATATATTGTCTGAATTTTTTTTTAAATTCAAGAGGATAATGGAAATGATAAAAAAGAAAGAAGAAAGGAGAGAGAGAGAGAGAGAGAGAGAGAAAGAAAGAAAGAAAGAAAGAAAGAAAGAAAGAAAGAAAGAAAGAAAGAAAGAGAGAAAGAAAACTTTTACCTGATGAGCACCAGAGGGCGCTGTGAGATGTAAGGATGGACAGGGACCTGTAGCACTCCAGCTTTATTTGTATAGATATACAGCTAGGAACAATGTAAATAGCCATAAAGGTGACCATTTATTACATGAAATTGAAAAATTACCAAATATAATAAAGTATATATGAATTTTTTAAAGGTTTAACTTCTTTTCTGGAACTTTGCTCATGGCAGGAAAATAATGGTATGTGCACACAATAAAACAGGTGTGCCTTACTTTAAAAACCTGCAGTTAAGACATTACCCATAGTTACAAACTGGTTGATTATTTACACCATTACAAAAGGCTGATCATGTACCGACTCCAAGGGTGGATACTCCTTGTATTTATTTGAAGTAAGTGATGATGATAACCAGTCTATAGGATCATCATGAATTTTATTGTTTAATTGAAAGTGGGGAAGTTTTAGGCATTACCCTGGGACATGAGTGCAAATGAAGCCATCCCCAGAGAGACAGGTAGCAGAAATACTGAACAGTGATGTCAACTTCTGTGGGCTTCCCTTCCTCCTAAATGTTAGTAACGTCTGATACCTGTGCATCCCTCATCAGTGGCTGGGCTTGAATCTCTAGCCATCTCTGGATATCTAGAGGTTCATCCTACTTAAAACATCCAGAGTAATTCACTCTGCATTTTTGGTCTTAGTGCTCCATTTTGTCCACACAGAACCTCCCTCCCCGTTCCTCATGACTTCTCATTGGTCAAACAGCCTAGGTCATTCCACTTCTTGCTTCTCTCCTCTTACATTGCATCAGCCCATCACTCTCAGGACAAATCCTTTTCCAGTGAAGGCAGGGAAGCAACTGAGTACTCTCTTTTCCCAGACCCTGTGGCCGTCTTGCATTGCACCCTACCCTGGCATCTTCCCTGACCAGTTTGTCCTCTCTATGGAGAGAGAATGTTTCTGAAATGCAGCTGTGATCAGCTGTTCTGTGTAAACACTCCAATGACTTCAACAGTTGAAAGCCACAGATGTTCCTAGGTATGCTGGGCAAGGTTCCTCATGGTCTAGCCATTGAGGGGATCTTCAACTGCTGTATCCTGCCTATTGTCTAATACTTAACTCAACTGCAAGGCCAAGGTCAAAATTCTCCTAGTGCCAAGAACATGTCGTATTCTTCATATACTTTGCATTATGGTACATTTCCCTTGCTTGCAAGTTCTTGATAACCTCCTCATCATTCTCAACACTCAAGGCAATATTCACCTTCCCTAATGAGAGGATTCATATTTCTCCCTTAGAGTTACTTACGATTTCTTCTGTACCAGGACTCCAGTACTAAACGGTATATCATTTTAAACAATATATCTGCTCCCTGGTACACTCTGGGCACCTTGAGAGCAGGACCTAGTATTTACTTCAAATGCTTAGCGCCTGTCACAGTGACTGTGAATGCTTTTGGAAAGGTGTGCAATGCTTTTGGAAAGGACGACAATTTCTCTCATCCTGCCTTTTGGCAAGACCAGTAAAGAGGCTCAAATACTTTTGATAGGCTTCCCGTATGATATTCTTTGCACGAGCTGATACATAGAGGCTCTTTGTGCGGGTGGAAGACTAGGGCGAACTTGATCTCTGTGACAATGGCCTCCACTGCCGATTTTTAGGACCCAGCGAGTGAAGCTGAGCACTGACATTGGGAGGGAACTGCTGTTTCCACCTCTGCTCTTAGGCCACCATGCTCTACCTTGGGCATGATAGGCTTGGGGTCATAGAACAGTGGAACCTTGGCCTGGTCTTGGGTATTTTTATACGGGTCTGATCGGCAGCAGCAACAGGGTTCTGGGGGTTGAACTCTGGTTGCCAGCCTTGTGTGGCAAGAGTTTCTACCATCTAAGCCACCTTGCCAACATGAAAGTGACTTTGTTTTCACCATCTTGTAAAATTTCTTTTTCAGTGCAGTTTCTTGTTTTTCTCTTTGCCTTCAATGTTCCTTTACTAACATTTAAAGTGTTTATTGTATATAATAGAGCTTATTTCTGGATGCTCGATAGCTCTTACCTGTACAGTGCTAAGGCAAACAGTTGAATGGCTATCTTAGTTATAGCACGTATCAACTGTGTCAGTCAGCTATAAACACATAGAAAGTTCCCCGTAAACATAGGTTTTTTTTTTTTTTTTTTTTGGTTTTTAGAGACAGGGTTTCTCTGTGCAGTTTTGCACCTTTCCTGGAACTCACTCTGTAGACCAGGCTGGCCTTGAACTCACAGAGATCCGCCTGCCTCTGCCTCCCGAGTGCTGGGACTGAAGGCGTGTGCTACCACCGCCCGGCAACATAGTTTTTTAACAAAACCTATTAAAATAGGAAGACAGGAAGATGTCCTATGTTAACTTTCTCTGTGGATCTGGCTTTGATTTATTTGGACACTCATGGGTCACTGAACTTTCCAAGGCTCATTGTTGTGACTTGTTTGGCTCACACACGCTACCTGGACTCTTTAAGGTGGACCCTGTTGCTTTAACAGTTTCCTCTGGGATTGAAATAATCTATCCTTCAGAGATGCTCCTTAAATAGGAAGGTGAATAACTCAAAGTAGCTTCAGGAAGTCTCTGAAACTGACCAGACTCATTAGGCCCCTCCCTGCCAGAGTGAACAATAAAAGCTGAGAGTCCCCCTCAGATGATCTGAGCTAAGGTACAAAGAAGACCCCGAGAAACCAACTACAAAGAGGACTCTCTGAGACCAGACCAGCTGCCTGGAAGAAACAGAAACCAAGGAGCTGCCTGGAAGAGGTTTAGACCAACTGAGTCACCCAGAAAGGACACTCTCCAACCTGTTGAGCTGCCTTCAGGCTGTGCAGTGTGCTCCAGGTTCCCAGCTTTGTAAGATATCACCGATGCTGGGGTAAGCTTTACTGATACATCTGTCTTTGAGTCATTTCTGCTCTTAATGTGAGGAACCCCTTCATCCATATTCCTTAAAGTAACCCTAATAAAACTCACTGGTTCACCAAGGCGGACTTTGGTGGTATCTGGGGTGAGCAGACGAGTGTGCTGTGTCTCCCCAGGAAAAGTTTTGTCACATACCTTCTCATCCAGTTCTTCCACGTCCGACAGAAGGCTTCTCATTGTGCTCTCCGAGTTGCTGATCTGGATCTTTCTTAGGGTGTACTGGTTTTCTCTCTCTGACAACCTTGTCTGTGAAAAAAAAAAAGGTGTTTTCAAAGTTTTAGTCATTGTGTCCCAACAGTCTTAAAAGATTTGACTTTTATTTATTTATAAAGTAAATATTTGTTCATATCTTAGCATGCATTTGTGAATGAGTGTAGTGTCCACAGAGGTCTGAAGAGGGTGCTGGATTCCCTGGAGCTGGAGTTACTGGTGATTGTAGGCCACTCAGCATGGGTGCAAGGAACTTAACTCTGGCCATCTGCAAGAAAACTACTCAATCTAAACTGCTGAGCCATGTTTTCACCCCCAGACACCAGGTTCTAAATAATACACATACATGACTCCTTCAGTATAGGAAGATTTAGGTAGACTGACCTCTGTTCTTTTCTTTCTAAATATATTTTTATTGTATATATGTGGCTGTTTTGCCTGCATATATGTCTGTACACAATGTGTGTACAATGCCTAGGAGGCCAGAAGACAGTATTTGATCCCCTGGAACTGGAGTGACAGATAGTTGTGAACCTCCATATGGGTGCTGGGAATAGAATCCAGGTCTTCTGCAAGGGCAGCCATGCTCTTAACCATTGAGCCATCTCCCCAGCTCATCACCTCTGTTCTTAATAGAGGGTCCTCAGATGGCTGCAGCATTCTGTATAGAGTGGGGCTACAGGAGGGGCCTGAGTTTCCGGAGCTGAAAGTCTGCCACCTCCACTTAATGTAGTCCAGGGAGCTCTGGCCAGGCCCTGGGCTGGCTGCAAGGAAAGGACACCCTTTTTTGTTGTCACAAAACTGTAATTAGGCTGGAGGTGGTCCTGGGAATCTGGCAAATTCCAATCTAATCAGGTCTTAGAGAAGCACAAGTAGTAATCAGGATCAATGAAAATGGATTTTTAGAAATACATTTTCCTCCTTTGGATATAGAGAGACAGAGTCTCTCTATTTTGGATCACTACCCTACCCCCCTCCCCAATTTGCATTTATGAGAAACTTGGTGGAAATGCAGCTGTCCTGGGGCTACTTTGGATTAAGCCTTTTAATCCTGGTAGAGCTTTCCTGCCAACTGCAGTGACACCCATGTGTGGTGATATTTTATTTGTGCTGAAATGTGGTGATATTTTATTTGTGCTCTAATAAATAAAGCTTGCCTGGAGATCAGAGGAAAAACCAAGCCATTATAAGTAAACACAAAAGTCATGCAATCCTATCACTTGGCAGGCAGGGATCTGTCTGGATCTCTGTGAGTTCAAGGCCACACTGGAAACAGAGCCAGGTATGGTGGCACACACCTTAAATTCTAACACTAGTTAACCATGGAGGTCTGGAGGTCTGTACAGACAGAGAGGAAGTGACAGAGCTGGGCAGAAAGAGGAAGTGATGTAGCTGGACAGAGAGAGCAAATCAGATGGCAGAACAGCAAGGCATATAGGCGTGGGTAGATAGGAAGAAAGTCACATTTGGAAGCTGAGGTATCGGTGAGGTGAGGTTAGCATGTGGCTGTTCCTATTCCTCTGATCTCTCTCAGGCTTTCACCCCTATACCCATGTTTTTTATTTAACAAGACCATTTAGAAATTCATCTACACCCCTGTGAGATGCGCCTGATGGAAAGGCTTGAGTGCATTCACTGCCCTGGGTCTGGAGGACTCCTCTGAGAATTAACGTTCTTATGTGTCTGGGCAAGGAGTTTGGCACAGCAATTCCAAAGGGTACCATTTAGGACATTTATTTTGTTCTGCGTGGCATGTTTTTAGCCAATGGTGGATATTATTTGACACCCCCCACACCCCCCCAAAAGTAATGAATGCTAGGTCCTGTTCTGACTGCTTCACTTATCTCAGTTCAGGGGCTCTTCCCCAGTAATGAGGACACTGAAAAACAGAGAGGCTCATCAACTTACCTGAGCTCACACAGCAATGGTTGGAGCTGGGTCTGGACAGAACAGTGTATGTTCCCAGTTGTTAGGCTAGCTTAACTAAGAAGATAAAACAGTCTGGCATTAAGTCTGATGGCTTCTCACTGAATTCTGTTGTTGATAACAACATCTGTTAGCTGTGATGGAGGTCCATTAGAAGAGGAAAGCTCTTAAAGCTGACGTATATGAGATGTTTTTATTTTATCTATTTATTTTATTTATTTATTTTTCCCATTGACTTCCTTTAACTTGTTTCTATGATAGAGTTAGGAGAACAAACACATGTGTATGTATGTTTGAGGATGTGTGCATGTGTTTCAGAGACAGAGAGATTGAGAAAAAGAGAGATAGAGAGAGAAGGAATGGAAAACAGAGAACAGGTGTAAGCGAGAAGGAAAACCTGAAAGGGGATGAGGGAGGTTCCAGATAAACTCCTCAGAACCCTGCGGGCTGAAATTAAGGTATACTGGGTAGGCTTGTGTTTGGATAATGAATGCACAGCTTTGCAAAGAAGAGTTTCTAGTGTAGGTACTAATCCGTTATTGATTTCATTTTCCATATGCTCCCTGACATAAACGGCAGCTTCTGATTGGGGCATTAGCTCACGGTTATGATGAACTTTTCCTGACTTCTCATGTAACAGGTACGATCTATGTTGAACCTACATAATCTGTGGTACAGCCACGGAGCTCGGTGGCCACCAGGACACAGACGTGGCCAAGAGGGAGCCTGTGGGACTACAGTGGAGGCGCAGACCGAACCACAACATTCAGCGTACTTTGAGGAGGTGGATGGTAGAGTTCATATCGTTGATGTGCCTATGCGCCGCATCGCCAGAGGACACGCTCAGCAGCCCGGATTTGCTCTCTTGGATGGAGAGCGCTGCTAACCGCAGGTCATCCGTCAGGTCCCAGATGCACTTGTCGCAGCCTGCGGATGAAACAGGGCTGTCATTTCCGCAGAACCAAAAGGCAGCTGGAAGCCCAGGGCTTTAATGTGGACCCCCTTGACCAAGACCACACTTATTTTTGTTTCCTGAAGGGCTGCTCTGGCCATGTGGAACCAGTCTTTACCCAAGCAAACTGTCCATCAGGCAGGATTTTCACTTAAAACATGATGAGAGACAGGCAGCAGGGGCAGTGGGTTCGCAGCAACTCTAACTGCTGACAGGAAGGAAGAGGACCATGGGATGGATGGACAAGAAGCCCTGCCCACTTTTCCTTAGTAGTGGGACCCCAGCCCCCTCTGGAAAGATTCCATTCTTGTCAGCCTCCTGTCTTGGCTTGGTGGCAGCTGGTAGAGCAGGCCAGTGGCCAAGCATCTTTCTTGCCCCATTAGCTTTTCTCAGTCAGTGCAGGAATGCTGCGCCTGCCTTTGCCTCCCCCAGGGAGGGCCTGGCTCCTCTCCACGCCCCACCTCCCGTCTAGATGAGCAAGTCCTCAGAGCAGGTCTGTAAAGTACAATTTTTGGCCAATGTCATGACATGGTCTCCAAGAAAGGTGCCAAGGATCTGACTAAACCTGGCATGTTGAAGGGATGAGTCTCCATTTCTCATCACTCCTCACCTCTCACACTGTGATCCCCACCCAGGACCCAGCAGTCCTCCATGGATACAATCCAAAGGAACACACACCAAGCTTTGAACCCTGTCTTGACCTCTCTTTGTACCTTGCCAGTTCCCAAGCTCCTTCCCATGGGTGCTGCTGTTTTCTGGAGAGCTGAGAAACGGCGACTAAAGGGTTAATGCATGTTAATATGTTAATTTGTTATTGGAAGGTCAACACAGCACTACCTATCAGCTCCCTTAGAAAAATGAGTCCCCAGCCTACATTTCAGGCTGCTGACAATGGTTAAGGCTATGCAGGCATCTGGGTGTCTTTAAATGGAGCTGGTCAAGGGACAATCTGGTTGCTAATTGCAGACTTTGTCCTGCTGTGTCCCACATCTTGGGCATCTTCTAAGATAGGATGCACTGGCAGTATTTAATCTCTTCTGCTCACCAGGACTTGGGGATCAATATACTTTTGTTTGGGGGAAGGGATGCATAATGTTTGAATATTCTTTAAGACAAAAGCTTTGTTGCTCACGAGTTGACAAAGCAATCCAGGAAAGTGAAAGCAAGCAACTCTGCTTTGTAATAACTTATCACATTATTTCTGGTCACACTCCAGATTTGGAGTGAGTTGGGGAAAGCAACTTAAGCCTCCTTATGTTTCTGTGTCTACAGGTGTGGTGAAGCATTGTCTGTCCCATGATCTGAGGACTGCTCAGACGATGCAGGAAGAGCTCTGTCCTGGGAGCATGAAGCTGAGTGTGAAGACCAGCTAAGTAAGATGTCTAAAGTGGAGTGATGTCAGCAAAACTGCCTCATTGCCGAATGAGAGCAAGACCACCAGGGGACCTTTGTACAGGGTCCATTACCCTGGAGTGAATACAGCCTTAAATCCAGGGCTGAGAGTGAAACATTTTCAGGGAAAGTGGTATCACATTCATCTTTTACATTTCTTTTTACTACATTTATTACATACTTTGTGTGTGTGTGTGTGTGTGTGTGTGTGTGTGTATGTCTGTGTGTATGATATGTGTGTATGCATGTGTGCCTCAGTGTGTATGTGGAGGTCCAAAGGATCATTTGTGGGGGCTCAATTCTTTTCTTCCATTTTTTTGAAATTTTTTTTAACTGCAAATGACTCTTCTTAACTCAATATCTGCAGTGCATTAGAGAAAGTGGGTCAGTCATTCAAGTACTGTTATTTTTACTTATAGTTGGGCAGTCCATGCCTGTAGGGAGTTCAAATCCTTCTTCCAAGCACTCTCCGGTTACGCTGTCACAGGGGCCGCCCCCACAATTGCACACTGTGGGGAACAAAAACAAGAGAGTAGGGAGTCATCGTCTGATGCTTAACACAGGGCAGGATTTCCATGGTTTCCACAAATACCGGCTACTGCTGTGAAATCCTTCAATGGGGATTAATCGTACTCATCCTTATGAGTATGCAGTCTGTGATATCAGGATAATGCTCTTCTATCAGTTCAGCGAAGGCAAGTGGGATGTTCAAAAATGACCCCAAAGCAAAACTGAATCTCATTCCCTAGGATTCTTCTCCCAACTCTTTAGGATTCTATCATAACTCAACATATGTTTAGTCCAGAAAGGCCCAGGAAATTTTCCCAAGGAAACAACAGCCACAGAGCTCAGCATTCAACTTGAAATCGAAAGCCATCCTTTCATCAGAGAGAGTTTCCAGTTAAAATCCAACAGCAGCGGGGTGGGTTGGTCCCTGCCAGGTGTGAGGGAATAGCTCCAGAGGAGAGAGTGAAGAGGCCCAGGAGCAATTCTTGGCTCCCAAGCATTTGACCCTTGGCAAGACTGATTCCAAACTCCAAATGGGAGGGGTCAGGGGGATGCTAGGAACCGGGCCAGGGAAAGAACTGGGAACATATTTACATGAATTTAAAAGGCTTGAGAGCTCATCATCCATTGACTGATGACTTTCAGCAATGCCTTTTGAAAAACAAAAACAAAATCCAATCTTATCAGACTTCTAATTTTCCACTAGTTTTTTTCTTGTTGTTGTTTTTGTTTTGCCCCGGGGGGTGGAGAGGAGGCAGTGACGGGGATTAGACCAATTTACGTTCTGATCCCCTCGGAGTTATTATGCGGAAGTAAATTTGTAATATTTTAAAAATTCCTAAGCTATCTCTGCCAGCTAGCCAGCCATAAGCTGGAAGAGTTGTGAGTTTTCCCTCACAGAATAACCACAGAGGACGAGCTCCAAGGGGCGCACGGCTTATTATACTTCCGCTGTGTGATGCTCCACAAAAGGCAGACTTGTTAAACCCTACTTCCAAGTCATGCTCTGCTGCTTCCCACGCCATGTCATCTAGGAGCGTCTGCATCTTCGTTGTTTAAACATAGGTCTAGTTAGCGCTTTGACAAGAATGATGCCATTTCTAAGGTTTTATTTTCCCACCACACTTCTAATGCCCGGCCCACCTGACTGGACAGTCTTCCTTCTGCCTGTCCTTGTTTTCAGTACTGTGGCTCTGGAGGCATTTCTTTTTCTGTAGGTATGTTTATTTCCATTGTGGTCAGATCACAGGCTCGCTCTTCTCAACATTAAACTCTTCCCTTTGTAAGTCTTTCAAGTGACCCTTTCAACCGGTTGATTTCCCAGAATGCATGCTGTAAGCACCCAATCCCTGCTTCTCTTCCCTCCTTCCCAAAAGTCTCTTAGGGAGAGCACTCAGTTTGAGCCCTTCCTCCTGGAGGAGAGCAGCTCACCTCACATTCTATGTGGCAAATGTGCTGGACAAATTAAGGATGAGAAGTGCGAACCGAAGGCTAACATTAGATTAGAAGCACTGACTCTGAGGATCTGAGGAAAGGTAGAGGACCCTGTGTGGTTAAACTGTGTCTGTGCTTTGTGAATTTACTTATCTGGAACGTTAATTTTATTAAGCATAACTGAAAGACGACACAGCTTCCAGAACAAAATAACTCACTTGAGCCAATATCGGATAGCATTCACTCCTTGGTCAATATAGGTAACTCATCACGACATGGCTCATTTCTTCAATCAAAATCATAAATATGAACACAATAAGACAGAAATTATTCAAGTTGATGCCACTTGCTTCACTCCACCCACAAGCTAAGGTTCATTGGTTGCCTTGATGAAAATGTCTAACTTTGGTACATTTTGATGTACATTCTGTTTGTTGCTCTAGACCAGCAGTTCTCAAACTATGGGTCCCATTGCATAGCAACTCTCCTGCATACCGGATATCTACATTACAATCCATCACAGTAGCAAAATTATGGTTATGAAGTGGTAACAAAAATAATTTTATGGTTGGGGGTCACCACAACATGAGGAACTGTTTTAAAGGGTCGCAGCCGTAGGGAGGTTGAGAACCACTGCGCTAGATAAACTCAGGGGGACACTGGCAATATTCCCTCACCACAAATTCTTCATCTAAATTCAGTTGCCATGGAGAGCAGTGCTGGCCACACAGCTGGCTGAGGATTTTAGGACGTGTACCTGCACAGTTCTTGGCAGTCCTGGCATCGCCGTAGTAGCCAGGAGCACAGCGCTCACACTTGAATCCCGTGGTATTCCGTAAGCAGTTCCTGCACTGGCCAGTGATTTCATCGCAGTCTTCAAAGATTAGGTTGGGATCCGAATTTCCACTGCAGTCACATTTCTTACAGGTGCTTCCAATGAGTAAAGGGTTTCCATAGTAACCAGGAGCACATCTGAAAGGTGTTAAACATGCCAACTATTTAGCGTCCAGAGTTATTTCATTGTTTAAGAAAAATCTTTCCTACATAGAAGAAATACATAGTGAAAATTTATAGAATTCGTTCCAATTTTTTCATATTATTAATATGACCAGACTTCTAAAAAAAATTGTTACTTATTGTTTTCATGTTTATTTTGATTCTGTGTCCCCATACATCCCAGGCTGGTCTTGAACTCATAATCTATTTTTCTCTGTCAGTCTGCCAACTGCTAAGATTATGGGTAGGCATTATCTCTCATCTCATTTCTCCCCCTTTATAGGTTTTTTTTTTTTTTTTGGCGGGGGCGGCGGCGGGGGTGGGGGGCACTTCTCAGTGTGTTGTAG